CTATTCCTTTAATCCTTGTACAGGTTGGCTCAAGACAGAGTGAGGTGGACCCCACAAAGTAACAATTATTCTAACGGTTTCACCAACGGCTTTGGAGGGCACATCAAAAACCGGTTCTTCCTGGACAGCTCACAAAGCCCACCAGATTCCTACAGGAGCAAGTCTGCGTCAGAGAAGCCCAGTATGTCGTCTCAGGACAAAAACATGAACATTCAGTACGACTCACCGAGCATGTACAGGTTACTAAGGTCCTCGCGTACCTTCAGGTATAACGTTGAGATTACCCGGCCGATAGGGACTATCAGTCGAGCCCCAGATGGTCGCTTCATCTTGGGTCAAGATAAGAGTGTTACAAAAGAAAGGCGACATTCGCCATACCAAACCAATGACATCCTTCCCGTGCCACAGCTTGTCCCACCAGGCAGGCCTTTCCATATTTCTAGGGACAGTTCGTTCTGTCCAGTACCACGACTACAGAACACATTCCGACCAATCCAACAGGAGGAGGTCACACCCTCCCCGACCAGCAGTGACGGGAGCTATGGGAGTGGTCACAGTTCAGAGGTTAGGAGGGCCCTGGTTAAACCTGCTTCTAGCAGAAGTCCTGCTAAGTCGTCTTCAAATGTTCCGCCAAGTCGCTCGTCGCGTTACTCAAGAGGATCACAGCGAGTTGTTTCGGCAGATGTCCACAGTAGTCCTGAGTTATTTCACACCGCACAACCTGCTAGATATCGCAGCATGCCAGGTCAAAGTCTGCAAAGGTACCCTAGCTCAGCTACCAGCACCAAGTATCCCAGCAGTGGTCTGGGGAGATATTCGGGTGCTTCCAGGACTTCATTTGAAGGGATACCTATGCAGCACTATTTGAACACCAGACCCCAGAGCCACAGTAGCACCTCCAGTAGAGAATCCCATAAAGTCTACCCTGTAGGGCCACCAAAGCCACCACGGCATCAGGCCTTCCGAGAACCTGCCTTTAGAGTGTCTTATCCTTATGTGCCAGAAGACAGTGGATTCCCTTCGAGTTCCCAGGTAGATTTCTTAGATAACCGCCACAGTGCACCAGTTGAGACATTGTCCGCTCGACGACTCAACCGCGTCTTCCACAGTACTCCACAGAGCAGCACGTCGCAGCTGGACCACTCAGACTTCACCTTCGGTTCCGAGCAAACTCTTACTGAAGAAGACAGTGAAGACAAGTCCTTCAAGGGGAGCAATGCTACGTTGGTAAACGAGATATTCACAGAAAAAAAGCCAAAGGCGATTGAGGTTTCACCAGGCCGTGCAAGTTCTGCTAGTGCCAGCAGTGGCCGGGGAAGCAAAACTTCCACAGTCGCTATCTCGCGAGGTAGCAGCTTTAGGACAAGTGAAGGATATACCTCACCCGACCATGATTCCCTCAGTAGTGGGTTTGTAAGTAAGAACACGTCCCACACCACAGCTCAGGGGTCTCGTGGTTACAGCAGTGATAACATTAGCGGAGAGGACGGCCCATTCGAGTCTACTAGTTCTGAACAGTCTCCAGTCTCAGGGTCCACCCCACACCCCACAGATGCAGATGAACACTTTGAATGGGACAGTACAGAGCCACTGGGCTCAAACATTCTCCAGGCTGTACAAAGATACATCATTCAAGGCAAGAGCCCCTTACCAAAACAGAAGCCTCGACAGACCGAGTCAAAACTGCCCGGTCCTCGTGAAATTCGCAGACATCGAAGGATATCAAGATTTTCTGACGTCGACGCACGGTGTGCTGCTCTCAAACAGGAGTTCCAAGAGTACAAACAGCGACAAAAGGAACTGGGAGAGGATCAGATGAACTATGAGCAGGAATATGAAAGAACAACAATGGTCTGATCTATACAGACTGTGCTGTGCACACTGTCTGGTAACTGTTGTTTGGTCTATACCTGATGCATGAAGCATCTTATCACAAAAAAAACCTGCACCTAACACCTACATAATATCATTTTAAAAGACTACCTGTTTTGAATGGGTAGCTGAGAATCTAGCTTTTACAGAGTACAGTGAATGGTTGTTACATTTGGTTTGCCCTGAATGTATCACTATAATGAAAATATGTGGCAGAATATTGTTCCTGGATAGTGGAAACTTTGTTGTTGCAAAGATCCATCTGATGACACTAGTCTATTTTTATCTATTATTACAGACAAATTATCCATGTACATAGATTCCTGATCACTGTAGAGTACCTCCTTAGGATATGTTTACATTCAAAGTATAAGTAGAGAATCAATATATTTACCTAGAAGCTCTATTTTTTATGAATTGTATGCTTATATGTTGTCATATATGATTATCAGATTTGTTTATCTTTGCTTTTGTTTGCTGTTTTGCCTGTGCTTTGACTTTTGAATCTGAAGAATTCCTCTGTCCCATGGGACCAAAGGAAAGCAAGTGAAATTGGACAAGTTTTCAATAGACCTGTTCACTTCTATTTTGGCAGAGACATTCATTCTATGGGTGACCAATATAGGAAGTCAGGACCATGGGATTCTAGTGATCCTGATAATTGAGTATTTTTATCACCTCTAAACAGCAAAACAAGAAGTTGTTAGCTAATATTGTTATTATTTATAAAATGTGTATGAATTGTCAATGCAGTGGTACAAAAAACCAAATTGATACTTTGTGAGGAATTGTATTCCTGTTGAAATTCTGAAGAAGAAATTGAGGAAAATACTATGTAATTAGATTACTTAATACAGAAATTAAGAACATCTCAGGATCAATGATTATCATATTTTCTCTTTTGACCAAAAAGAGTGGTGCCAAGAAAGCAGTACAAATTAGACAATAGTACATGTTTTTATCAACATAACAGCAGTTATGTTTATGTTAGACGATAGAAGAAACTTCAAAATCATTGATTCAAATCAATTTCAAACCTCACAGTGTATTACATATTTGAATCCTCAGTTAGCAGTTAAATAGTTAATGTGTGGAGGTTGGTTTGTGCTGTTCTGAAATTATGCATTATTTTTGTGTGAGAATGGTTTGTTAACAATTGCCTGAAAATATCTAGATGTTCTGTATAGTTTTTTAGATGTTTATATGTTTGTATATTTAGAGTTGTTTTATTCCTTTTGTCATGTATATGTACTTGAAACATCTGGGTTTTTAAAGGAATATTTTAAGGCTGTTCAACCTTTGAAGAAGTTGTTTCAAACCCCTACACTGCCTGAACCTGTGACAAATACAAAATATGGTGCCAAATTCTAAGTCAGTAACTGCAAGGAGATATATAAAATATGCAGCTAGGTCTTTGAGCTTGTAAAAGAAACTATGCATTCCATGAGCAGTGTAGCTTGTTTTATGTATAGATTGCATTGATAGGGATAAAGTCTAGTACCTATGTATTCATGCATGTAACAAACATTAGTTAAGTTTATTGTGCTTGTATATTTAGGAAGTCTATTTATCATATCTGTGAAAAAATGGCTCGGTTGATCCAACATCAGACAAAACCTCAGATCTTGTAAAGTTGCATTTTGTGATTAAAACATTGAAACTCATTGCTCTTATACATTGGTTTCGTAATTGTTTTTTGTGTAAGTCCCTTCCTAAACTAAACAAACCAATTAATTTGCCCCCCATAACTCATTTTGGGACAGTGACATGAACACTGAGCCAACTATCCCTGTCCTAGGTGCTGAATAACATTCACACTGAGCCAACTATCCCTGTCCTAGGTGCTGAATAACATTCACACTTTCTGCTAAGTATAATGTCCTTGGCAGATACTGACATGATGCTCCTGAAGCACCGATCGCCTAGTGAAAGGTAAAAAGGTTCTTAAACTAGTAGCCTGCATCCACCATTACATGTACAAACAAGCTGAACCTGACTGCCACAGTCTAGCGCCACACAGTGAAGGGTGTAGGTACTGCAGCCACTGGCTTCCGTCCGACGTACACAATCTGGCAGCTTCTACACATGACATTGTCGGACCGTGCCTCATCTGAGGAGAAACGGGTCTAGCAGCTACAGTATGTGTGTAGAGTTAGTTCATTAAGGAATTATTCAAGTTTAAAAAATGAAATTTCCCAAATTCTAAATCCTTGATAGGAGATAACTTTGAACTATATTGTTGTTTTGTGAAAATACCAGGAGATTAAAAAGACTGCAGGGACCCTTGTGTGAGGGAAGGCTTTCCATGCATTTAATTGTTGCAACAGGAAACATTACATACAGATTACATACCCACTGTCCAAAAACTCCATATAGTAATATATGACTTATCAAAATTAGTCATTTCCAAAAGACATGACACACAACAGTGCATTGGCGGTGGTATGAGGTCACCAAATCCTTGTGTATTTATATTGAATCTTACTACATGTTACATAAATTTACAGTTAAGACGACAACTCTGACACACAAGTTTTCGGCAAAAACGAGAGTATATACTTTGACTGAATCTTGCCCTGGAATGAGTTTGACATTTGGGCCATTTATAGAATAGTAGCTCACTTGGACAACCTTTCTAATACTACTATTGTCTCAAGACGACATCCTTCCTTTTCATGACAATCAATATTCATTGTAAAACACATACCATATCTACCCCTGACCCTAAAATTTAACTACACATTGAACGGAGAAAAATACAGTACCCATATACAAAATGTGTACATCAAAAGGTGCTGAAAGAGAGCAGGATATACAGACAAAGTTTTGAAATATAAACATCCACCCAACATATTCTATAGGAATACATACGAAAGCTAAAATTGCACTCATATACTAATTCCCCCTTGGCTCCTATTGCATTGCAACATTCCAGCAGTAATGTATAATTATGTAACAACAACTTTAATATAATATCATTTTATACTATTTTCCATCTGTAGCTTATGATAGAGAAGAAAATGTACATCCATTGTTCCTACATACTGTTTTTCCACCTTTCGACTCACAGGACAACTCTGCTCTACTGTATTCTCACCATACTTTCCACACACATGATCACAGTTGTAGCAGCAAAGACCTTTGAAAGAGATACTGATACACGTAACATAGAACAATCAGCCCTTCACAAGCCTTCAACAAACACGTGCACAATTCTGTATTTATCCTGGTCATTTCTCACTCAACAGCAGTGAGTTCATATCCTTAAATGTTACTCTGTTACAACATACATTAAATCTCTTGAAATGTTATATTTTTCGTATTAGTTGAAATAGATTATTTAGATTGCACTGTGGATTCCTTTTGTGAGACTTCTGTGCCAAGATGACATTATAGAACCATAGACTCTCGTTAATATATGTCTTTTGGGAACATTGCAGTAATGTTACAAGCACATTCTAACTTTATAGTTTACAAGATTGGTTCCTGGGTATACCTACATGTGTGCTACCGCTGCTTTTTGACATAACTTCTGCTATGAGCATGTTAGCCTTGCTAGTTCTACACCCCAAATCAACATCCATGCAGGATAAGTATCAGTACTTGACAATGTTGATAAATTCTTCAACAAGTATCAAATACACTACAGGTTAGCTATTTCTATGGTGCTACCAGAGAAATTCATGTTGAAGATGACCATAGCAAAACACTTATTGCAACAAGTCTCTCTTTTTTGCATTGCTTGAGTCTGAAGTGTCTCAAAACACTGTAATAATGTGGTATCTTTGTGCATGTTGGGGTTTTTGTCTCAGCTAAGCATGCTTTACTGCACCAGCCAGTTTGCATGTAGAAACTGTACACAAATACACTGGTCAGTTATCTCTTCAGTTATTCACATTGTTGGAAATTAACCTTGTTTCCTACTTCCTTAACTATTACTACTATATGTGTCAAATTCTTGCTAAGGGATATTTTTTGGTGGAATGATACAACCTACAAGCTAAGATACCCCCTATCCTTTTTTACCAATATACTACACACTACAATTGTTACTATGTATTTTCCCTATTTAGCCACACACTTTTAAAACATTTCAGGTCCCAAGCAGGTGTTCCAAGATGGACATTCCAGATACTAGTGCTAACAGGTGGTAGAATGTTACAGCTCTGTTGTCAGCTCCAAATCTGGGGTGCATAGCTAAAAAGATTTAGCTAAATAGGGAAAATATAGACTCTTAGAGCACCTTAATACAGTTCCAGGAAATGTTCCTTGTTGTATAAGGCTTCATTTGCAGTGTGATAAAGTTTGTATAGTAAAAATATTTTTGTGTGTGTGTGTCTTTCCAAACAATTTTTTGGAAACATGGGAGCCAAAATGTCTCCAACCAAATTAATGATTCCTACTTTGTGGTACATACGTGTAAATGTAGAGTGCTATAAAATGGTGACACAATGCCAAGTGCAATGGCACAGTTACATTATTGTTGTTTCGGCATCATACACACACGGTACAAAAGTTGGTCTCATATGAAGTGCTGACATCAGCATTATTGCATGGACATGGACTTTTCTTCAAAATGCTGTAGATTAGCTCAACCTAACAACAACCAAACTATGTTGGGGTTCTAGAGCTCTTTTCAAAGCTACACTGCCTGCTTAAATCTAACACAGCTCCAAGTCTTTTTAGACTTCCAATTTGGCAAGCTAGAAGAATATTGGCCCAGTATATGAATCACATACTGCAGAAAAATAGTACAAAAATGTATATCAAGCCCTGTTTCAATCATAACTGTTACAGCAAGCTGTACACTCTTTGATTTAAAGAGCAAAAAAATTCTTAACAGGCTTAATTTTGTTCCAACCAGTGCTATGGTAATAAGCAGATCTCTAGAATCCTCAAGACTGGAGGCTAAGCTAAACAAGTCATAGAATTTCTGTTCAATCGAACCACATGGAAATGACATGTTTAACATGATAGTTTCCTAACATGACTGCAAAAGGTGTTCAAAGATGCAGATGCTTTTTACCAAATGACATGGTATGCATAATATCTCAATGCATGGATGTTTGTATATTTTTCCTTGTGCAAAGCTTGGGGGTGTTCATAAGAGAATAAATCTTGAGGATATTATATAGCCTTCAACACATACATGTACAGTGTGTGCTTTGCATATGTTGAGGGTTCACCATGTTTACATGTGTCTCCAAGTATGCAGTTTCATCAATTTCATTCATGGCTGAAAATTTCCAAGAGACAATTCTCATACCTTATGCTGAAAAAGTGTGGACTAACAGTTTTTATTCTATTCAGTGGTCTTGCGTAGTTAAAATCTTAATATACCCGGTAGCAATACAGTGCAACTGTAGCATATCATCTTCTTGATGACCACATACTCTTGAATAGCAATGCCACCTGCTGGCTCCCCCTAGTATTACATCTGAAGTACATGATACCTCCTCTCAGGACAGATGGTGTTTAGAAGACAGGAATCTTGTCTCTTGGGGTGTAGTCTAGATCGTCATCCAACATTAGTAGAACCTGTTAAGAAAAGCATTGTTTTCACGATGTAGTTCAGTTTTTTTCTGCATACCGTATAAACTGGTTAACTACTTTAAGGTGTCACTGAATGAAATCAAAAAGTAAAAGCTGCCTAAGACTGCAGTGTATGCACACACTGAAATGGACACCTTCACTACAATCTTGTGCTCTGATTCAACGTAACATTAGAAATGACAGACAAAACTCAAGTACACTCCAGAACCAGCATACATGACATTGTACTAATTATTGATAAGAGCAGGGGTTCACACCTAGTACATGTATGTTTAACATTCGAATTATAGAATTTTCCACCCACACACCCAAAACAATACCTCTATTTTTCATGCAGGTAATAAACTTTGAGAGGTTAACTGACCAAGAATGAGCAGAACATGCTGATAGCAGACATGAAGTGCCAGATGTCATGGTCATCATAGAACCCCATCAGTACACAGTCCTTGTTGTCCAGTCGAGACTGGGCTGGTGTTTTCTGAGGAGAGGCAAAAAAAGAGTTAGGGAATACAGATATCATCCTAATGCCATTTGAAATATCAGAAGCATGGGACACCTGAAAATGATACATCCATGTCTATGAGGAATGATCAACAATGTCATATAGTCCAGTACTGTGATCATCAAAAAGCAAAAGAGATACAATAACTGAAGATAATATTAGAGGTCAAGGACCTGATGATCTGAAAACTGTACACTCTCAATTTGTTTCTCCATTATTCTAAAAAACATGTCAAAATGAGGCAGTGATTAGGGATATTATATAAAGGGATAGTGCAGACAACCTTTGAAAAAAATAATACTACAGTAACAAACCAATTGTGTTTGCTCTGACTCACACTTATACCAAACATAATTCACTTACTAATAGTCCACCATTCATTTAGTATTCATTCATATATACATTCAATCACAAATGGATTAGTTGATTCCTTCATCGCCCTACCTCCCATGTAGTGACTCCCTTGAAGAAGAAGGACAGAGCGAGCGTCCAACAGATCAGTGTGATGATGATCAGCCCTACAGTTACCCACAGGATACGCTCTCCACTCCGTAGCTACACAAGGATACAATAAAAAAAATTTATTGAACATTGATGATAATGTACATGAGGTAGTGGTATATAATACCAGTTACATACATATATGAGGTACTGTAAATCCATTAATATTCGTGGCAGCAAAAGTTTGCGGTCTGAGAAAAACGGACATGTTCATGGAAATATATACGTTCACGGTGGCGGCAGGTGCAGCAGAAATGAAGTCTTCAAACTATTTGTTCACGGTAATGATAAGTTTGCGGTACAGTGTTGAACAAGTATTTATTAGATTATTGGTCTCTATCAATGTAAGGGCCCAAGACTTACCTTCATCACGATGTAGAAGACGAAGTAGAGTAGGAAGTTGATGATGAAAATTGCCAACATGAAGGAGGCAAAGTCATCAGGCTGGGCCACTGCACCAAACAACGCTCTGGGGACACAAACAGATATTTTACTATCATTATTGGTATATTAAAGTCTTCAGCCTTGTTCCAAGGAATGAGCTGGCAGACGAAACGAGATAATTGGCAAAATCTTAAATCAAGTTTTATGTTGCAATAAACAATGCTCTGGGGTAATAGGTAAATATTGTGGGACAACATTAAAACTTAACTGCTGCTATTGTAAATTATGCAGAAATGTATGTTGTAAAATGTAATTATTATGATAGAGCCTAGTCACTCACGACAGTGTATTGGCCCACTTGGTCATCTGCGTTCTGTGCATCATTAAACATTTCTTATGACAATACAAAATGAAGGAAGTAGTGTACATGTATATACATACAGCGACCAGTTGATGATGTTTCCAACCAGAAGTAGCACAAAACGGTCCTGAATGAAAATAAACCACACAAGTCATCAAAAACCTACCAGTAATGATTTGCTAACTTTAGGACAAGCAGTATGTGCACAGCAGTACGTATCTTTTTAAAGATACTTGAAAACATCTCCAAAGTCTGTCTGGTGGTCTGATACAGAAAACCCCAACGGGCACCAAAATGCAAAATCTGTCTACTCGGCACCATACCGGGTATATGCAAGATAAAATGTGTACCTGTAGGCTAGCTGTCTGATGAGCAGTTTCCATTAAAGTCAGGAAAGATTACCCTATAGATTTCAAAACTTACTAATTACACTGTAGCACAATTATAGAAAACCAACCATCTCAGATTCCATTGAAATCGTTATTCCTTCTATGTGAGTGCGCTAAATTGATCAATCTACATGTAGACATCTCATGGTAGCTGTTGCATGTTGTACTCACCCAGTACATCGGTTTGGAACATTGCAAACAATCTGTTCTGATCAGGAGGTACATGCGATGGAAAATCCCCATGTCTAAATGAGAGAACACAGTTAACATTATTATATAATAATTTTATTATACAACTATCAAGTATTAAATGTGTACTAATAATATTTCCATTTCTTGACAATATTTATGATTTTTGCATGTGACAATAAAACTTTCAAATCTATACATACCTAGTAGGCAGTAGCATTCCAATACATGTTTGTGGCTAATAGTATGATCCCTGAAGTCAATAAGCTCATTCCTAGACTTTAAGCATCTAAATAACTTGTGCAAACAGTGTTCACCATATATTAACTAGTACAAAAATTTCAGGCAAAGTGACTAAAGAAAGACGTTGAATCAAAACCAAAAACAAGAACTGTTCCTGTCCTACCTAGTCTCCACCTGCCCATGTAGTACACCTGTGCAGTGAGGGCCAGGATAGCCAGCACATAGACAATAGTGAAGATGGCCCAGAAGTAAGGGGTGCCAAACACCTGAACACATGTACAGGGATGGAACAGTGAAGTTTACACACCATACAGGACTGTACAACACCAACACTACAAGATTATGTGGAAAACACCTAACCTACATGTAGTGGAAACAGTTGTTGGGTTGGTATCAGCTACGTTTGTCTAGCAATCGTGCAATTTTGGTAGAAACGCATACCATCAAATCTTTTAGGAAATATGCCATACATGGCATATAACTACCGGTATCTTGTTTATATGGCTTTCAGGATTTTATTCTGTGGAATACATTTTATAATTTCTTGATGTTCAACACCTGTTGAATGACCCTTCACTGAAAAACTATTAGAAGGAAGAGGGAATTCAGAAAGAACATGTTGCTACATGTTGCTACCCTTCTGAATAACTTGGAATTCTAATTAAAAGTAACATACAAATGTAACCCGTGGGATAGTATACTACTAGTAACTAACTGTGCATTGTGCACTTACCACTCCAATCACTGCAACAAAGATAACGATAGCCAGGCTGGCGTATGCTGCGTAGGCGTTGGCATTGATGTCAGGATGTCGTGTCTGGTAGAGTTTCAGCATGCCCAGTCCTCCAATGATGTACATGAAGGAGGTGTCTGTAGTATGGCATTGTACACATGCACACATATTGTTTAACAAGGCAGCATGTACTGGTATCACTGGGCCAGATTTTTATGTAGAAAATAATTTAGATTGCTTTCTTGTTACAGCCAAGGTTTCATAGTTTCAAGTCTATCTACATACATTTAAAAAAAAATTGGAATAGTCATACTTGGTCTTGCTCAATAACAAATAGTTTGCAGTGGGCTTTCCTTACCAAATTGGAAGTTGGAGTAGTTAGGACAGACGTGGTAACATCCACTCATCACCCCTTCCATCACAAGGGCAATGCCTGATAGTAACATAGGAAATTAGATAATGAACAGAATGATTCACTTCATGAGCCACATGCACATAGATGCATTAACTACATACCTAATGTAGTTAATAGCCTAATGACCCATTTTATCAAAGATGCAGTGTTGAATGTAATGTTGCTTTCTAAATACTATGAATGATATTGCCAGGCTCAAAATAGTTTATTATAAACATCTGAATCTTGTAACAGTCATTGCAATAATTACAAAAGACATTCCTCTTACCGATAGCATAGAAGAGACCAAAGTGTTTGGGGATGCCGTAATCCTGCAGTAGACATTAACATCCATAAGTCAATACACAAACCAAATAAAAATCATCCACTCAGTATTACTGCATGGTCTATGTCATTATAGCTTGTTGGGATACATGTAATCTGGTAAAGACGTTCTAACAATTATTGATTTGAGGTTAGTCCGTAGAAATCAAATTTGTGAAGGAGAAATTCATCCCATCCACAATTCATCTCTGCAAGGTCCCATCAACAGTTACTGTCTTAAATTAATTTGTCCGAGTTATTTCAAGTTAAGCTCCCCTTTAACAGCAGACAAAGCAGCTCCATAACTTACAATGGCATATCTGTCACCAGCATCCACCTTCTTCTGATGGGTGTAGTCCCTGTAAGGGATAAACAGCATCTTGTCTCACACTCTCACTACAAAGTATTTCTAATGATAATCTGTATATATCTTACAAACAAACAAAAAACTACCAATAATCAATAAATAACTGGTACATTTTGTAAGAATAGAGAATGAAAGTCGCCGGCAGCAGAACAACCGAACATTCAGTACCAGGGATAGCGTTGATCGATAGGAAAGGTGCCCTTGCAGGGCCATGTTCTGGGGGAGGCCCAAGACAAACATACAATAAACATTTTTTGAGGCAGTAATGCCATACAAACAAATGTTCCTTACCTACGGTACACAAGGATAAGAATGAGGACACCAAGCATGATGTAGCCAATGTTGCTGTACACGTTGTTGAAAGCACTGAAAACAACATTACAACATTAATCATTATGGCTGAAAGCATCTCCTAGTTGGCATGAAAATTAATGTCAATGGGGGGGATACAGTTAAGGGGTTGTGAATTAAAGTTGGAGATCCATAATGATGGTATCATACATATATATCATATAATATTCATCAGTGCCTTACGTGAGGTCCCCAGCAGGCTGTGCACAGAAAAAGTTGTAGTAACAAATGTCCTCATTGCCGGTGGTGTTCAACATCTGTGAGGACACATAAAATCAAGAACTGTTATTACATGGGAAAATGTACTCAACCTTGCATGGTATTCACAGATTCAGGGAGTGAAAAGGGTCAGGTGTAAAGTCCAGCCCTATGTTCTCCTCTTGCTAAATTCTAAGTTGAAGGCAAGCTTTCAAGCTGTTTTGAAAAAAACAATAATATATGAACAGCTATAGCACTAAATTGGAACTGGCAAGGAAAATACATGTATGTGCTTGTTTTGTACACAAATGTACATGTAGAATCGTACCTTCTGGTAAGTGATCACCAGTTGTATGACAGGTAGAGCATAGAACACTGAGATGGTGAGCAAGTTCCTGTATGTGGTAAACACAAGAGAGAAATCAGTACTGATGCAGTTCTTTTGCATGCACAACTAGTGAGTACTTTATCATATAACGTGAAGTAGTACAGTAACTGTGTTCACATTTTCTTCTTCAGAATCCTAAAACTATTATCTAGAATTATTGGAAAATAACACACTCCTCTCAACTTAAGTTCTCCTATAAGTGCAAACCATAAACACTGTGAAGTTATTCCTGTCGACGAGCACCTACCAGCTATACAGGTTGTACTTCTGACTCAGGTGGCGGTGGTCTTTTCTAGCAAGGTCCGCAACATACAGGAAGGTCTGCAGCAAAAGGGGAAGGATTATAAAATGAAATTCAAGACTTCAAAACAGTCATGTAACTATGTTTGATTTTAAAATTGCTTGCACAAAAGTGCATAAAGTCATTCAAGGCTGAGAAGGAGAATAATATCAGAAATGGCCAGAATTGTTTTCAAGACCTGTTAAATGACCATCAAAATGTGTATGTAAACACTTCATTCTAATCTACTCACAGAAATACTAGTAGGTACATCAGAATGACGTATGTACATTTACTATTACACAGACACACACACACACACACACACAGTTGGGTAAAATAGCCTTATATAGCCTCATAATACCGTACTAAATTAAGCTAATACTCTGCCCTGGTTTTGAGACACATATGTGAAAACTACATGGGGAGATGAAACCTGCATGGTGACTGTTTCTGACCTTGGTTCTGTAGATGTCCTTATCCTCATCTGCATCATCCAGCATGTCAATGTCATCCTCCATGGAGCTGTCCGACAGGGTGTGCACCATGGGAGGTTTGGGGTAGGACTTGGGCTGGGCTGGCCGGGGTGGAGGGGGGTTGGGAGGGATGGGGGGACCGTTGGGTTGGTCAGTCGGGGGAATGCCAGGTTTGGTCTCAGCAGGCTGTTCTCCCATGGTGTAGGGGTCGGTAGCTGAGGAATTTCAGACACAATAACAATGTTGTACTCAAAACATTAAAATAAAACATTAATCTGACCAACACAACTGTTTCAACCATCTCTCATGTTTAGATTATAGTTAGGGTTAGAAATATGCCATTTATGTGTCACTAATTTATATCTTGGGATTATACTGTACATACCAGTATTCAATGTTAATCTGTTCATGCAGTGTTGCTTTGAAATTATTTTCATACTGTCCACCTGCATTCATTTGAGATTCATTTGGGAATCTAAATATAGACTATACAATAAACAAATAAATAAGCATTCTAACTGGCTCTTCTCTATCAACAATATCTGATATATCATAACTTTAAGGTTTATGGTGGTTGCCATACCCTCTACCCAACACCATATATATATAAGTTACACATCAGACAGAATTACACACTTGGTTTATTAGGCGAGATGTTTGCCTCTTTCTGTGAGCTGACTGAACCATTGTTGGACAACTTTTTGCCCAGTATGGTAATGTGGTTCAGACTCAGTCCATCTGTGAAAGCAGTGTCCAGCACTGATGGCATTTTTACTCTGTCCCAACCTTGTTAACATAAAGAAAAGAAACGCTTTCTGTTAACAAAAAAAGTAAAGTTGAAAGAAAAATACAGGGACATCTTGTACAAAAACAAAACATGCAATACTTAGTCTAATAACAATGAAATAAATGAGTGTGATTTTATTTATCCTCCTGGAAAAACCTACTCATATGCAAGTCAAAACAGAATTCCCAACCATAGCAAAATGTAAACAACAGTGTACACATGTCTACATATTAAGTAAATGTAACCCCAGCCTGTACATGTCACTCACCGGTGGCTCCATAGTTTGGTTCTGTTCTCTGAGCATTGATGGGAGCTTCAGCATTGCTTGCTGCTGCAAAGAAATATGATTGGATTATGATCTTACTTCAATCAATTTATAAATCAGATGAAACTGTTATTGCATCTTACAACCATGCAGATTCATGTAGAAGTGTTCTATGTCACAAAGTTTACTTTGAAGCTATACATTATTATCACAAAATGTGGTTTTCAGTTTGACTATTTGGAATAAAACTTTTTTTAAATACTAGTATTCATAGCCAATCAGATCAGATGATCAGCCCTACTAAACAATTGTATGCCAAAACACATGCAGGGTAACCAGACAATAATAAGGTTACAGGTTTGATAGATATGCATGTTATATCCCCATAGAATGCTAGACTTGGATACATACATGTATGCCTGTACAAAATTTGATGTATGAAGCCACACCACAACCTTACAGCTCATCCACTAATGTTAGTTTGTTAATTGCTAATGGGCTTGTCAATGTAAAGTTCAACATACCATGTACAGTATCAGGTAACTCAAAGATATTTGTTTAATTTTGACACACATACAGAAACATCCAAGCTAAGCCATCAAAAGCAAATATCTACTTTTTATATTAAATAGATGTCACACTTGACTATTGAAGAAATCCTGCATCCAGTTCTTCAGTCAAACACAAGTGAACCAAAAAAATTTAAAAGGCAAGACAAGGCCAGAGTTTCTTCTTCATGCAGTTCATTTAGCTTTAAAATTACAGCATGGAAAGAGAGTGAGAGACCACATACGCTGAGTGATCTGGAAACCACCTAGATAGTAAAGCGTGAGAAAGAAGAAGCAGAGGTGAGAAATTATTTATAAGTCATAAGACAGAAGTGCATCTTAATAAGATAGCAGTATTGGTTGACAACAAGCCTGTACGTTAAGTCATGGGCAACAAACGTGCCTCAAAATTTTGAAAAGATATTACTCTGTCAATAAATACAAGGCAGACTTGTCAGAAGTACTTAGTATATGTACAAGCACTACCATGGGGATATGCATGGACATGTACTACATAATTGCTGTCTGTCGATACAGCCAACAATCACCTAATGTTACAGTACAGGTTTTGCCAAATTACCAGTGAAGTACAAAAATGTAACAATCATCCAGAAATCTACTTCTTCTACATTAAACAAATTACCAAGCAGTCATCCCTAGCACAGGCAAGGTAAAAAAATCACACGTCTGGTGACCTTAAAACTAAAGTTAGTTTAGGGTTAATTTTGCATTCTAACAAAAACAGTGCAACCTTACCACCAGTGACACTGAGAACAAAATCATCTCATTCCCAACCTATTCCAGCATAGCCTGCTCCGTGGAGAAGAGTCATGGAGACCATGCAATACAGGGACGATGCACATGCACAGGTAGGACAGAATAGTGGGGTATCATAAAAAAGAAAAAACATAACAAACAAAAAGTCACATCACATCACATCATAAATAAACAACAAAAATGTACATGCTGGAAATTCAAAACAATACTTTGTGGGAATATAGTTACTGTTTTAAAATTACACTACACACATGCTAAAGAAATAGGTGGGAAATTTGGAAATATTTTCTGTTGTGCCCCAACAGGAAAATCTGGTAAAATCAATGTAATTTGTTTCACCTTGCTCCTCAGGTCTTGGTGCCAACCCTTCCAGCTCTGCATTCCTCTGTCTGAAACATTACAGGCAAGAGTATTGAAATTAATAATGATAGGCGAAAAATTTTCCTGGTGTGACTTTGTGTCTAAAGTTAGCTGCCCTAAAGAAGCTATTTGTTACTTATCCTAGCTAGGTCTTAACACAGCATGTCGGCAGAACATACTGCGCCTGCACGAAACCCCAATTTTTCAGAGTTTTCATTGGATTTTTGAATCCTTTGAATTTTTGAAGAATTCTGCCTGTTGCAGGGGATATCTCTTCTGACACAACATTTGGAAACTACAGACGGGATGTTAAACTTATATACGCAAGTACTACCTTGTATGAGACGTTCTGCCGAATTGCTATGCACAATACATTACGGGTTTCACGCAGGCAAAGTACATTCTGCCGACGTGCTCTATAACACATAATGTTACATGTAATGACTCACCTGATCCACTGAATAAAGAGAACCATGAAGGTGACGACATAGAACAGCACAAACACCAGGATTCCCACAAACACTGCTGTCACGTACTGGGAATCTATGTAGAAGTCAAAAGGAATTGAGGAGTGACTGACAGGTGTACAATATACAACAGTACAAAGTGGTAAATATAAACAATCAATACATTTCTTGAATGTGGAGGACCAACAACTTTAAGACATGTGTAGTCCATTGGGATTCAAGGAAAAGAAAAACTGACATAATGTCAATTCCCCCGTAAGATTCATAATGTAATAACCACACCTTCAGCACCAAGGACAAGACTTACCTTATAATCTTTTAGTTATATCTCAGTGAGTTATATCTCACTCCCAAAGCTAGGAAGGGAAATGTATTAAAACATTTCATTCATACCACAGACTGAAATATATTGCTACTGGTTGTGTCTCTTCTCCTCCTCCACAGAAATGTACATGAGATCTAGAACCGCAGGACCAAATGAACTCACCTGTAATAGACGGCCCGACCACGACATTTACTTCCTTCACACGTCGCATCTCGAACGCTGTAACCAAAAGTACACCTAACTGGTTAACATCATCACAGCAACCGATAAGTGGTGACAACTGTCGTATTGTCATCATCATTATTTCTGGCATGTTTGCAGACCCCCCTTTCCTTTCTAGACATTAGTCTTCCAGAATGTACAGTATTCCACTAAGATACTTACTCATTACATATTTTCAATTTTTTCATTCAACCACTAATCATCATATCTTTTTTAGTTAATTGATGACATCTTGAAAGTGTAGGGAAGACAGTGAAATATCTATGCTGAAACAGAATACATTTGTTTGTAGATAGCTGGCTCCCTTTTACCAAATTGTTATCACGTACCATATTGCCTAAACCATAACAGATAACAGGCATGTCTTTTTTTTTCCTTTTTATTTCATTCAGCAACTAATCATCATATCTTTATGAGTGTAGTGATTATATCTTCAAAGGGTCGGGAAGACATCTATGCTGAAACAGAATAAATAACTGACTCCCTTTTATTAAATTTTTATCACATACACATTGCCTAAAGCATAACAGATAACACTTGGCATAACTTTTTTTCCTTTTGGTGTCCTTCAAGTTGATCAGTTGTTTCAGGTTTTTGCATTCTTTCTGTTTTTGAAGGGGAGGATACCAGCTGTTGCAGTATTAAAACAAAAAATACTAAGGACTTTGATGATGTTTTATGGAGAAGAAGTCCCCCTTACCTTCCTCAGAGGGATAAGCAGGCTGTATGGTCTCCATCTCACCAGTACAGTCAGCATCCGTAGCCTTCACCACCACCACCACATAGAACTCTCCATTAGGGAAATAACTCCTCTGCAAGATGAAACAGACATGAAGTGTCATTCTGTGACCTTCCAGTTCACTCCACTCCATCTTGACTTCACTCAATTCACCCTCAAATTTCAAATCAAGTCGCACAGCTGTATTCCAGTCACATTTGTGACCACTTAAGTTGCAATCTCGAGCCCTGAAATTGCACGTTGCATGTGGGTATTTTGAGCTTTGAGTCCAAATGTTGATGGAAACGACACACTTTGCTTCTGTGATGCAGTCAGTTTTTTTGCAGGTCTGAATTTGTCTAGATTAAAGCTATCTACTAAATGTACTTACCTGTACCGTGATGGCGGCCTTTTTCATGAATGTCTGATAGATTCCCACAAACTCGATGTTTCGGTCCAAGTCGTATACTGGGCACTGGATAGAGAAGGACAACATTTCACATCACGTCAAATGCTGTTCAATCATTTAGACAATCTGAGATAGCAGACTTCACCCCAGCACAATGTTTGAAATACACTGCAGCATACTTCGGGTAATTAGAAAGTCAAAAAGGTTAGAAATTGTTGGAAATAGTTACTAATCTCAAATACATTTGCTTTCAAACATGTTATAAAACATCCACACCATAATGTGGCCTCTATTGACATTGTGTTAAAATAACATACAATAACAATAACTTGCAATAGACTGACAATCATGCTATGTTGTTAGCATTGCAGCTGGAAAAAAACAATACGAATTCACATCACATGACAGACCCACCTTGATTGGCTGAAGGGAAAAGACGGCACACAAACTATTTGGTGATGAAACTTTCACCACCACCATGTCCAGATCAGGAGGCATCTTGTATGCATAATACTGGGAGAGAATAGAGGAATTTTTTTGTTTTATTGTCTTTCCAATATGATTTTCATAAGATTACTTCAATTACACTTATAGTTATGTCATACATGTATGGTTTGCAGGACCTCCTAATTAAATTAATCAGATATACACTACTGTAACTATGCAGTACTAACCTGTGGTTGGGAAGGTGATACAAGGAAATTTCGAGGTTGTCCAGTGCTGAAAGGTATGAAAACAAAATAACATGAGTTACTGATAGTCAATGATCTTTGTAATCTTCAAAAGCCTGGCCTTGTCTATTTATGGACAAACAAATGTCTCCTTCAACAGTGTGACACTAACCTCAGGATAAAGTCGGTGAGAATGGTTGCGTTGACGCGGTAGTTCAGGGCGGTGGGTGATGCCGCCGACACTTCCAGATACACAGTCTCCTTCTCGTCCTTCACACCCACCTGCAGGTGGTCCATGGGACACAGCGTACGGCTCACCTTGTCGTATCCATAGCTACAAGGTTTTAAAAAAAACATGACAATTGATTATCAGTACACCGTACAACAATATGAATTCTCTAAATGATCAAGCAGCATTCCCTTCATTATCAAGTTCATATCGAACTTCCTTGATTTAAAATCTGAGCAAAAGAAAATGTTTTCTGAGAGCAAGTCTTACATTACAACAAAATTACAAATTGGACTATCAAAAAAACTGTCTTCACCTACTTGCATATTGATCAATAGTTCAATTCTCCAGTGTCACTGATGAAAGGTGGTGGATGCTACCAGCTGGAACGTCTGACCGTTTCCAAAATGAGTAACTGTTTTTTTGGTGCATCTTTTGCATTTTTCCCAAATGAACACTCATTCATCAGTTCAACCATTGTTCATTAATCCATTCGTTTGATACTCACATGCCTCTGATCATGAGGGGCACCTGCCACGACAGGATGCCCCGCTGTTGTCGCACCACGAACAGGAGAGGGTAGTCCTCCGTCGCCCCTTCACTCTTCACCTCCACACGGATGGCACGTGGGGAGGACTGAGAGGGAGTAAAACATGATATCAACCCTCACCTGGGTGAGAACGTCATGGGTTTGAATCCACTGGTGTTCCTCATACCTATATGCACACTACTGCAGTCCTTCTAATGGTTCCGTATGCAAGTCTGAGGAGAGCCATGTCTCAAACACATAAAATAATCCACCATTTTGTAAATGTTATCAATACATATGAAAGGATATGCTGCAGTGAATGTTGATCCATTACTAGTAGCTTATTTAGTCCTGTCCAGATATAGTCTTGTGATAACAACTATCTAGAATAAAAAAAGTTGATAGGTCATTGTAACAGATGATAGCTGAGAGTACCACATAATATTCTTCTGTGACCTTATCTTATAACTTATAAGCTGTACCTCTGTGAAAATCTAGATTTCTTTTCAATGTTGATACTCCATTTCTGCATAATTTTTAAAAATCCTAGACCCAACAAATTCAACTGTTGTGGCCTTATGATTGCCTGTCAGTCTGAATCACATTGTTGCCCCCACAAGAAGATCCTCTCTAACTGGAACAATCCCACACCATGAATGTTTGATGAGCGTGGTAACTAATAAATTATAGATCCTAGATGGGAGGTTGAAATGCTAGCGTACCGCACAATTAACAGCAAAATTGCTCCCTTAAAGAGCATTTAATCAACTGTATGAACACATCAGTAGCGTATGGAAATGGCACATGAACATTCATGTCATAGTATTGCAACTTTGCCAATAGGATCTGTGTGTGTGTGTTTGTGTGTGTGTGTGGGCTGTGAGCAATTAAATTGAGATATTGTGGCTGAAATCGAATAATATTTAACATCTACTCTCAGAATACCACCACGTATATGAGTGAAAAGCATTTTGAAACATATAATAAATGATACCAATTAAAAGATCATTGTGATAGAATTGCACCGCCGGTATAAAACTGATAAAAGGAAAATCTAAAATTGTTGGTGAAGTTCCTGAATTTCAGCCAAATTACAATAACTAAATTACTAAATAGAATGATTTGCAATTAGATTGGAAAAGATCTCACGGGTCATGATGCCAATCAGTATGTCTTATTAACAGGCACGCACAGCTGCATTTTACCAATTTTTTTGTCGCTGCATTTCTAGAAAGGCCATGGCATCAAGCATTTTCCATCACAAGACAGATGAAATTTGTACACATCCATGACTGACTCGAGAATGCCCTCAATTTGCAGTCATAAAATCCTATCTATAATTGCAAATGTAGCCTGGACCCTAATCTACACTTCATCTACATCCACCCCATCCAATCTCACAAAAAGGAAGAGAATTTCCACACTAAAGGAGACTAATGGTGCATTAGCAGGGATTGGGTGGTATCAACATGGTCAGTTTTATCAAACAGCATGCAGCAGTGCAAAGCTTATTACACACTGGTGCATATCCTAACTGCACTTATCTAGGTTTTCTGGGTGCTGATGCAATCAGAAAAAAAAGACAATTAAATACCAATGAAACAACCATTTCTTATCATCATCGCCCATGCGCAAAACAATCTGGAAACTCTATTTCATTTTATGACTGACAAAAACTACCAATGTCATCTAATTTTGTACAATGTAGGTTGAAAACCCTTTATCCTGACACTTATGCGGATTGGATACTCAAAGCTGTATTGATCTTTATGGAAGTTATGGGACATACTGAATGATGACAGAGCACTTAGTCTGGAGAAACAAAATGGCAGTCCACAGTGGAGTCTATCTAGTGACTAAATCTATTTCAAAAGGACTTTTAATATTATTGGAGGGCATTCAATGACAAGTTAGTTTGGAGCTACTTCTACATTACATGTACTTTACTCTTTCTTTTTTCCATCAAAATGTATACCATTTGATAATATTCAATCATGCTTCATAAATGTAATTAACTGACCACAGGGGAAGGAGCTACCGGTGTTCCTGAATCTTAAATACGCTCTGACTCATTGAAAGAGGATGCAAAGACATTGTGCCTCAGAATGAAGAAGAGTAATTGTGTGAAATGAATTTGGCCAGTGAAACACAGCTGCTACACATTCTAATCTAATCAGAAAGCAACGGGGACGTCCATGGCTTAAATAATGACAGAAGATACATGTAGACATGTACCATCATTGTAACTAAAGATGCCACTTTTGTTATACAACAGAATGATATACATAAACAGATTGAGATAATTTTTGAATTGTGGATATGTCATATAATACCTAGCTGTCTTTTGATGGAATTTTACAGCTGTCATTCTTTTGAAGCCTCGGTGCAAATTGTAATGAAAAATTATACATGACAAATGTGACCATGCATTAGGCTTAGCTAGGTTAGCAAGTGTGACAAAACCTATGGCCCGTTGAATAATTTATCTGTAAACCAACATTACATGTACAGTTTCAATGTTCTGGGGATGCCAGGAGTAAAGGTTAACCCAATCCTTTGGGATGAAAAAAAAATTGCAGGTGCTAATCTTTCTGTCTTATTATTCCATATTACTTGTATTCAATTCCTTTTTGTTATTATTTGTTTGTTGTTATTTTTTTTTCCTCACCACCACCACCGGTCACGCTGGGGAACGACCACTTCCCTAAGCATTAGACCCCGCGAGGGGTATTGCTTAGTATTGTATAGAACTAGAACTAGAATTGTGCAAGCCTCTGGGATTACTGATGCTGCATTAGTAGATTGCTTTAAATTCTTAACAGTTGTTCTTTTATGTGTGTGTATAGAAATAATAATACAGTGTTGACTGTGATTTAAGTTACAACACATCTAGCTTCTTGCTTTCTCTGGTAAATTCTACATTTTCTGATGAATGAAAATGAGTCACAATGTAGTTGCCTTGGACCAAACAATCAGGCTTTCAGAGTTTGTCACAATCAAAGTTTTACCTTTTTCTTGGCAGTGTTGCTACATACTAAAAAATATGACATATGTCAATACATTCTTTAAGCCAAACCAACCAATCATGAGAGATGACTTGGAGCTGCTTTGACAGAACATTTAGCAATTTCACCTGCCAGCATAATCCATACATTGAATAATTCAATTTATTGAATTATTGAATCATTTTTATTGCAATGCATAATGCTGTGGGTTTAAAAATGCTTTTCCCATTATAATCCCAAATGAAAAGCAGCGTTAGCATTGCATTGTGTATGACCATGCCCAGCTAATAATAAGGTTCAGCGTTAGTGTTATTCCATTTGGGAATTCAATGCATGGCCTCCTTGAATACAGCATATTGATTTTCGGGGTGGGCTATCCGCGATGTGAATTGGGGGCCATTGGAAATTATGATTGTGTCATCATGACACAAAAGACAGTCGTCCCATCAAAGAACTACCTGTTCGAATTTGCAAAATATTATCACCTATGTAATAAAAAGATATATCTTCCAACCCGCCCCGCCCTTTTTCTCAGGTAAAAGCACTCCCTGTTGCGTCGAGAATGTCAATTTGTAGGTCCAATTAGCCCATATTTATTTGTGTTCTCTTCCCCTTTACGTAGAATATTCCTCTCACCTCATTCTGCATGTAGGTGTACCGGTAGATATCTTCCGTGCCGTTGAATACGGAGCCCTGGTAGATCTGGGTGAACTCTGCGGGAATTTCTTGCCGTAGCTCTCCAGTTTGTCTTCGGACCCTGGCCGGTCTAGCCCCCGAGGACACACCCCCGGACGTCTCGACGGTTGAGATCGCCGTTAAAATCGCTGCCACCAAGACCACAAAGGTGGCCATTTCCTAAAAGATATCCACTACGTAACCCTGCAGTCTAACAAGTGGTTTCTACATGTTCCCGAAGAATAAAAGACAGGTTTTAATGTTGGATCACTGCGCATCTCATTATGGAGATTCTGAATTCTCCAATTTCACTTCCGGTTTCTTTGCTCCCTCTACGTCATATAGTTTGGGGCCATTGATTGGGCAATACTGCTAAATTGTTTTCTCTGATTGGAGAACGTAGAGACAATCAATATTACTGTTAGAGCTTGCATCCTTCTGATTGGTCAGGAGAAATGACATTCGAATAAGCACCACATGGCTAGTGCGCATGTCCGAAAATGAGCATTGAGCAAAGGCATGGTTTGACCATACTTAAAAGAAGTTTTGAGTTTGACGTTAGTTCTTGACAGTTTAGAGTCTTCAAATACTGATGGAGAACCAACCGGCACCCCCAGAAATCCCCCAGCCGCTCATCAAGCTGGTGAGACTCATAACGCGGGGGTTTTATGGCATAGAACACGCGCTTGTTATGGACATCTTGGTTCACAACAGGTAAGACCGAGGTCCTTGGTATATGGTAAAGGCAGTAGGATTAATACCTTTTGACCCAAAATCTTCAGGGAAAAAAATATCTGTAGAGGGGTCCCCTTTTAATTTTACTACAATACACTTCAGTTATAAATTTAAAAGTCTATCTGATGGACATGTATTTACCTTTCAGGGGTCGAAATAACCCTCTGTGTGCAACTTGGTGCAAGTAAATTTGGTGTCGTGCAACTAATTTTTTGCCTGCTTGCACCATGGTGCAAGTTTGCTTTATCCACTGTTACTACCTGTAGAATTACCCAATAATATTAATTAATAAAGAACTGGAGTGGAAAGGAACAAAACCAGAATCCATGAAGTTTTTCTTCATTTTTTGTAAGTAACAGAAGGTTACTATCTACGTCGCTGCCAGCGGATGTTTCCCATCACTTCTGTATTTTTGGAGGGTGCAACTATTTTTCTTCCGGTGCAAGTATTTTTCTTTTCATTTGCACCAGTGCAAGTTGGCCCCAAAATCTATTTCGACCCCTGCCTTTAGTATTTTGCACATGAATGTAGTAACGTTATGTTCTTGTAGCTACAAATTATGTACGAGCAAGGACATTATACACAGTAGGACATTATACACTGTGTATAATGTCCTTGGTACGAGACATTCACTATTTACCTAACCATCCCTTTTGTTAATGGCAGGTATATCAAGGAAGAGGACCTACTAGAGAAACTGAAGTTTGAACGGAAACATCTGCGGATGATCATCACCCAACTTAAGAATGACCAGTTTCTCAAATCCCGTATGCGAATGGAGACCCACTCGGACGGGCATACCACTCGCCACAATTACTACTCCGTCAACTACAAGATGGTGGTCAACGTGGTGAAGTACAAGTTGGATCACATGAGGAGGAAGATTGAAAT